GGAGTCGGCGGCGTCCACGCTCTCGTCAACACGAGTTTGTCCATGAACATCGATTTATTCGAACAGCTTACAACCCGAAGCGGACGTTTACGATTAAAAAGATGTGGATCAATTCCGGCTTTGCCAATCTTCGTCGTTTACGCCCCGACATCAAACTATGACGAAGAAGTCGAAGCGTTCTATAGGGACTTGGAGAAGTTCTACAGAGAAGGCCACACATTCTTCAAGGTCATCATTGGAGATTTCAACGCCAAGACTGGACCAAGAAGAACGTCTGAAGAACGTCATATTGGGATCCACGGATCAGAATGGAACGAACAGGGTGAGTGGTTGACTGAGTTTATCATGGCGACCAAGACAATCCATGGTAACTCGCAATTCGTCGGTGAAAAATCGAACAGCACCAGGTCCGGACAAGATAAGACCAGAGCACCTGAAGAACCTTCCGCCAGTCCTCGTAAACACACTGGTTTAGCTCTTCACACGTTACCTGTTTGAATTCAAGGTCCACACTTAGTTGAAGATCAGTGAGACCGTGTTATTGCTCAAGAAGGGTGACTTGCACGATATCGGCAACTACCGCTCAATCTGCTTACTGTCTGTCGTCTACAAACTTTCCACTCGAGTCATCCTAAACAGTATTGACAAAACACTAGACGAAGGACAGCTATGTGAGCAAGCGGGTTTCGAAAAGGATTTAGTACGATGGACCACATCCACAGGATAACAAGGCTCTTTGAGGTATCGCGCGAGTACAAAAGACCGCTTTGTCTCACTTTCATCGATTTACAGAAGGTCTTTGATGCAGTTGGAATAGAAGCAGTCTTGGAAGCTCTTGATAGTCCATGAGTCCCTACTCAGTACATAAAGATTCTTCGTGAGCTGTAGAAAAATTTCACAACCAAGATATCACCATTCTACAGCGATATTAACATTGACGTCAAAAGAGGAGTTAGGCAAGGCAATACCATCTCGCCAAAATTATTTACCTCCACCCTCCAGAACGTCATGCGAACATTAGAATGGGACAATATGGGAGTGAAAATCGATGGTCGGCAGTTACACCATCGTCGCTTTGCTGATGACGTCGTCCTCATAACACCAAACATTAGCCAAGCGGAACGCATGCTTGACGACTTTGATAAAGGCTGTGGAAAGATTGGTCTTCGAATAAATCTTACAAAAACGATGTTTGTGAAGAGCGGATTGGTTTCACATGATCCATTCACGCTCAACGGAGCGAATATCTCCGAATTCTCCAGTTATGTTTATCTAGGTTGGAAAATCAATGTGATGAACGACTTAGTTCCAGAGTTGAGCAAAAGGAAACGAGCGGCCTGGGGAGCTTTCAAGAGCATCAAGGATATAGTGGAGAGAACAAAGAACACCCGACTCCGTGTCCAGCTTTTCGACTCAACGGTACTTCCTGCCCTAATGTATGCTTCAAAAACCTGGTCGCTGTGTAAGCAGGGTGAAAGATCACTCAGCGTTATCGAACGCGCAGTCGAAAGGACGATGCTAGGAGTATCCCGTTCCACACAAGTAAGGGATAGGATCCGAGGCTCCGATCTGCGTCAGCGATCAAAAATCAAAGATGCCGTTCTGTACGCCAAACAGACAAGGATGAGGTAGGCCGGACACGTAATGCGTATAAATGACAAGCGATGGACAAGAGCCGTTAGTGACTGGATTCCTCGGGATGTCAAACGTACTGCAGGAAGACCACTGAGCCGATAGTCAGAGTTCTTCACGAACAGCCTTGAAGAAAGATATGATGCTCGACGAGTCCCTAGAGCGAGCAGAATCCACTGGGCTACTTTTGCTCGCGACATGGAGAAATGGAAGAATTACTGGAGTCCGATCGAGTCACTCGGCGATCAACGGGGCTACAGGTGATACAGGTGATACAGGTGATACTTAAACGGCCGTCCTCACTGTTTGTGTGGGCTCTGGTGTAATCTTCATCTTTCCAAGATATGCTGGTTAAACCATTTTGGTTCTCTGAAATCACGAGGTTAGTCTGAACAAAATCTTCGCAGCCCTTGTGGATCCGAGGAAAATTTGCACCACGCGACTTCAATACCGTTACAGTGGTAGATCCTGGCATTGGCTTACTCTTAACTAGGCTTGCTGATGGAAACGCTGTACTCCTTCTCAGCTTGGAAGACCCTGCCAGGTGGTGAATTCCCTCGCTCTACATCGCAATCCGACACCCGGAACACTACCCAGTAACCACGATGAGGAGGTAAACAGTTAGAACTGTTAATAAACATCAGCTTTGAAAGGTTTCTGACTACTTTTATTGCACACCACACCATTTTGTGTCCCAACTTTTTTAGAGTTTATGAAAAGCTTTAACTTTTTGGATTAAAGTTTGCACTAGTAATAACAATGGTTATTCGTCCTTTCAGTCTTCATTTTTATACAGATGAGTAACTTTTACTAATAACCAAAATTATAAGATTGCTGATATATTTGCCAAACTCCGGACCGCGGGTGTCCGCGGTGGGGAACGAACACGCTATTGTCCTTTCAGGGAAGTAACGTGTACACGACCACACCATGCGGGTCCTTCGTTTTGCTTGTCTCTCAGCTAGTTTTTCATCGATCAGTGGTACAGCCATCACCTGTTAACGCGAATCCCCCTGAAAGCGTAATACCGTGTTCGCAGACACCTGCGGTCCGGAGTTTTGCAAATATCTTAGCAATCTTGTGGTTGTTTTTCGCTTAATACCCTGCCATAAAAATAACAGAAAGCAGAAAATAAAAAGTAAGCATTGTGGAATCAAAACTATGTTGAAGTATATTTGTTCTATCGCAGCAGAAGTCCTATGTGTTCTCTGTGTTCACATTTGTTCTATAAAAACACTTAAAACCACTTTAGACTGATATTTTTCAGACTCTGTTGAGGTATTGTAATCCAAAAAAAATGTTTAAGAACAAAATAAACGTCCTATGATACTCTGTTTCTTGTGTAAAAGTCGACCTATCGTATCTCCTACAGGTCTTAAGTGCGTTTACCACAGGCCAAATGAGCACTGATAAGGACTCACATGCTTTGGTCAACAAGCCATCCTTATCGTTTATTCCACCTCCTCTCTAACCGACTACTCTTGAAAAAAGTGTATAAACTTTAATTTCAGCACACCTACCTAAAAACATGGACCTATACGAATGTGTCCATGAACTGAAAAGTTGGATCGTGACAACCTTGGAACGTGAATATCACAGAAGGCCCATAATTGTAAAGGTGAACTTTGCCTGTTATAATCAGTGTGTTAAAAATCGTAGAGGAATGGAGTGGATGCAGTATAACATATCACAGTTCAAAAAAAATAGACTTATAAATACCACCGTATATAGACACATTACAATAAATTTAATGTACATTTAATGTAATAGATAGTACCATTGGAAATCGCTCTGGGTCACATGTCGGAGATCTTTCGCTTTCACTTGGACTGGTCGGATCATTCAAAAAACCTCCCGAAAACCGTTATAGCTAAGGTAGGAGCTTCATTTCTTCTTCTTAATATTTCAGAATACTTGTACTGTTTAAAGTATTTACCGAACTGATAAGTTCCAGATGTAAAAGGGGTTCATGCTTTATATTCTGATTTTTCTTACAATGATATTGATGTGCCACTGTCTTTATAACTGACAAGCTGCAGTGAAGCCCTCTTTTGTCCTAGTTTCCTGCCAGATTGCGCAATTGGTTCGCTCGTAACCAAAAGCATCACAATTTTTCTCCAAGCTTTTATGGATATTAGATCTGACATAAGTTAATAGTCCCAGCATTAACTCTTGAACAATGCTGATTTCATTGTTTGAATTTTGCATAGGATTCCGATGCTTAGCTCAAGGAAAGACATAGGTGTCCTAGCCTGGAGCCGCGGTTTTCTTGATCCTCTCCCTACACTTTGATTTGATGCTCTCATTCTTGTGCTTTATGCCTTTACATGACATCATTAAAAAAGCGAAGATGTCTCTCAATTTCGTCTTATTTATCCTATTAATTTATACACGTCAGCGGCCTTCACTTATTGTGCGCACCTCTGCACTGCTTTAAAGCATTTTATTTTGTTTCATACCATTTATAAGCATTAGTTAAGAAGATGTTGCCTCACACCAGTTCAGAAGATGTGCTTATTCTTGCGTGTAGAACTGTCAGGTATTTGAAGATTTTGCATTCTTCATTAATGTTGCTAATGGGCGTCAAATCAATTCTTCTTTGAATCCCGCAATTTCGTTACTAAACCGTTACTGAGTTTTTAACACGGGCAGTCTGCGGCCTTTTTTCTCAGATGAATCTGACAACAATTTTCCAATCACAGAAGGATGTTAGGCTTGGGCGGGCCGACTCTGAGACAGTGTGCGGCGGAGATAAAAATATATAACGTCCGGCGTTGGCCAATCCCTGGAGTACTGATTCCGACTTCGTTAAGCAAATGCATATTTGGCTCAAGCAATGGCTAGTTGGTGAGCAGTTACGGTGCCCTATCGCTAGATTGGGTCTGTGATTTTACGCTTCCACACAAGGTCGTTACCAATTTCCCAACCACGGCATATGAAGGACTTGGTTTGCGCAAGACGCAGAATCGAACCAACCATGTGAGTACTACGGACTGCATCGAACCGATATGCTTCTGCTATTCTTTCTGAGACAACATCATTAAATATATTAGGTGATATTTTGATAAAAGATCTAAAGAGATATAAAGGTCTGAAGTTGTCGCTACAACGTAAGCCTCCTATCCTGAGCAAAATACGGTCGTCCCGCATTCATTGATTAGATAGCATGAGTTCATGACGATAGCTAGTGAGTTATTCAAATGTTAAGATGCATTTCCATCCAACGATGATGTCAAAAACTGGTGAATTTATTCACCTGTGAAAGAAATCGATAAGAAGTCATCGATAACTTCCTCGATAGCCCTTTAATTAGATAGACTCATGATTTATAACGATGAGTTTCAAAAATGTTGAAAATAGGATAATTCATGTTTTTCCAGATCCCTACCTCGAAAATAACGGAAGAAGATCATTCCGATGATAGCATCAAAAAAGTGCCTACACTCAGCATCGAAGAGGATACTATTTTGAAAACGATGCACAAGATCGAGATGGACACCTATGCAATGTTCAAAAAAGGTGCGACTGGCGTCGTAAAGCAAAACTTTTTTCCATCTAATTTTTTAAGCAGGAATGAAAAGGCGTGAAATTAGTAAGAGTACTAACTACCGAGGGTTAAATGGTGACAATGACTTGCACTTGTATGCCCCGTTCTCCGATATCATCTGGGTCCCACCGCCCATTCTAATCGAACATCATTTCGGTTGTTGGAACACTTTGCTTCCTGGGATCCTGATACATCCATCCCAATGTCGTCGTTAACTGCCGAGCAATGAATCGGAACGAGACTCGCAATAATGCCAGCAGGTTTTTCTTGAGATGACGGCAATCTTTGATATAACCACAATGATGCTGAGATATTAGCAAAACCCCGGACCAAGGGTGTCTGCGGTGGGGAACGAACGCGTTATTACCCTCTCCGGAGGCTAACGCGTTCACCACCACACCATGCGGGTCCTTCGTTTCGCCTGTCTCTCTGCTAGCTCTATCGATCACTGCTATCAGCAATCACCCGTTAATGAAATTGATCTGATGAGGCCAAGTCGGCAATGAACCAAATTAAGCTGAGGCTACCCAAAATCCTTGATAAAGTTTCACTCTTAGCTAGGTAACCCTTCGTGATCTTGTCAAAGCATAAACCTCTTCCTGTGTATCTCAGTAGGAATTAGCAGAATACTTTTTCGCTATGATGAGGTGGTTAGCCATTCGGAAAGTAGATGTATAGCAATGATATAACTAATTTACACTCAAATATCCTTATTGTGGGTATAGGTACGGTCGCATATAACGTGGGTTTCAAATTCCGACAGGAAGCACAAATGAGAGTCTGGCACAAAAATCTTCAGCGGCTCTATATGACTTGGTTGGATAGCGATATTCCTACATTCCGTGAAAATAGCTTACATGACTACCAAAAAAGAATGTCAGGCTGGATAGAGGCATGTCCCGAAAAGGCGCTGTGTTCGAGTATACGAACAATTGTAAATCAGCGTTTTTATTTAGTAAAGTGCGACGGTTTGACGATGCCCTACCTTTATGATTCACTGCCGCTTTCTTCTCCAACCCCATGTCTGCTAATGGAGGACATTCACTCGAGCTACATGCTTGACGTCATCGATGGATTCAATGACGAGCAGGTTCAATGACACTTTTTGATTTACTCATTGTTCATCACTTTATCGAACCGACATGTAGAATAATGACATGTATCGCCCAATCCACATCCGCATAATTACGCAAAGACAGAGAAATGGACGTATGTATACGAAACACCACAAACATGTGCGAACACATCGACACACACGTATATATACATACATACATCCATATGTATATACATACATACAAGGAAATATATACAGACACATACAGACACCCATCGACGCAATCGTAAGGATGCGGCCACTCGCACTAGAAATGAATAAGCCCCGATGGGAAACCAAAGAAACCAATGTGGCTGTGCATGTTTCCTGACGCTGGAGTTACTACGTATTCTCCTATTTAGCATTTTCATTAGAAATAGCCAAGAAATTCACTAGCTCGCCTGTTCAATAACCAGTTGCCTGCTCGTATATGGTAGTCAACTTAACTTAATCCAAACTTAATCTAACTTAAGTTAACACTAAATTTTACAAGTAGCCAAGTCATTCATTCTCACTGGACGACTGGGTCGGCACCTCTGGAACAAGGTATTTGGAAAATTTTTGGTCGGTTTACTATCCCATGTTTGCTTCAAAACACGTCTTCATAAGTTCACTCTACTTAAAATGCATAAGATTTCATTGCTAATACCGTAAAGAATGCAAGCTTTCATAAGGTTGTGCTTCCCAAGTAAATGCTATGCCGTTTTTAACAGAAAACACCTGCTTCTGCAAAAAAGTGAGGAAAAAGAAGTATTATTAACTAATCTATTTCACTAACTTTTCCTTGAATAATCAATAATGCATCATTTATCTTATTTGATTTTATTTTATTGATTTATTTTATTTATTTATCCGTCTTCACGTCTACTGTGTGGATCCCAGCACTTCTCACATTCGATTCGTTTTCTCGCATCTATCATCCACGAAGACCTTCTAACTTTTGCATGTGACTTCGGTTACTGCTTGAGGATTTTCATTTCATCTCGAATGTCGTAGAATGCCGGTCGAGCAATTTTCCCTAGAGGACTGGAATAGTCGGGCTCGAGCGTTCCCAACTGCATTACAGAGAATGGTTTTTCCACAGACAAATCCGGTACTAATTTCCCTGGCTCGGAGGGATGACAGGCTTAGTTGGTCCGCAGTGGAATCGAGCTAGTACCAAGCTCGTGACGGCGGACAGTCTATCTGCTTCAAAATATAATAAAATATTAAAAAAAATATGTTTCAAAATCACCTGAAAATTTTTTACCATTAGTTCGATATGTTGGGTATCCTGAAGTGAAATTTAGTCGGAAAATATTTCGACAAATTTCAACAGGTCTAATAACCACTGCATTAATAACGAGAATTGCTTCATCAACAGCATAAGCAGTTTTTCTAGCATGAAATCAGAAAGAATAGAAAGAACTGATAAATTTTCAGTTATACCAAATCGTCGACCAAATTGTTGCGCTTCACGTCTACTCTTTCACGCACGACAGTTGGAAATCATGCGGAATGGGAACCAAGGTAAAATAAGCATTGTAAACAAACTAGGCAAATAAAGCAAGGAACTAAACTAAAACCTGCATACGAGAGGAAAAATTCCGAAGATATCTAAGTGCAACAGCAACTTGTCTGATTCAGAAATTTTACCATTATTTAGGGAGGCTCCTAGGTAGTCTATTAAGCAAGCTGCACTTGTTACGCTTGCAAGCGTAGTATTCCTGACCTCTCACGTCTATTCCATGAAACTAATGGGAGCTTAACATTAGTATTTAAGTGTATTACAAATAACTTAACATAAAAATCCAATAAAATTACTTTTGGAAATGAGTATTGAAGCGGGTGCTTGGTGATAACACTGATCGATAGGATTAGCTGACAGGCAGGCAAAATGAAGAACCCGCATGGTGTGGTGGTGAACGCGTTAGCCCCACGAAAGGATAATAGTGCGTTCGTTTCCCTCCGCAGACACCTACTGTCCGGAGTTTTGCAATTATCTCATTGTGGTTATTAAGTGAGTATTCATCCCCGTTATAAGCCAGTAGTTTTTTTCCACTTTACATGACCCACGCTCGCCTCTGCTGTGCGGGTCCTTCCCGATAGCCGAGCTGACCTTTTAGTCACTTCCCAAAATCGAGTTTTGGTCAATTTTCACTAGTTTTATTCAGAAGGAAAATTTGCTGGCAAGTTTTATTGTCTTTTAAACACCGAGGTCATAATTCATGAATACCACAACATAGAAGTACTATGGAGAATGAAGCAAAGATAAAGAAAATAGTGGCGAAATAAAATATTCTGTGAGCACCAACGAATACTTATTAAGATAGAACCCAGTTATTGGAAATTCGTGACAATGATTAACGAAATGGGCAAACACTTGATGGCTGAATATCCAACGTTGGAAAGAGGACTCACTTTACTTTACGAGAACTATACAGCTAATGGATTATGGTACATTGAGTATCTTCAGCACTACCAGAAGAACGGTATGTTTGCTTCTATCTACTTCATATTTAACATTTGGAAGGCTACAGTTAACGAATTTATCAACTACGGTCAAGGAGACAGGTAATGTGCTGACTGGGGAACTTTCTAGAGTCCCCAAAGCTGCGTTGAGGTCCTTGTAGGTCGTTCACATGCAATTCGCTGAGTATTTTGTCACTATGAGTCATTTTTGTCTTCGGTGATTCTTTTATGTTATAATAGTCTTCCAAATTAAAACTTTAAACTCCTTTCCTGATTAGGAGACCTTGCGAATAGATGAGCCCGCAGTACGCCAGAATTTCATAACCATGAACATCTTCCGGTCGAATGAGATAAGGCACTAAACCAGTAGGATTCCTTCTATTAAATAAACCTCAACATCATTTCTGACTGGCCGTTTATTTAAACATGTATGAACCACTTAACTATTTTGAGACACCGTTTTTCCACTTTTTTGTTTAAAACAATATAAAAGCGCTGAATTCTTCTTCCAAGTACACACCCTTGTTGCATTCTTCGTTCTTTTCTTGCAGCATATTTTCATATTATTGTAAACAAATTGAAGACATAATTCGTACCTACGTGCATGGTGATCTGTGGGCGGCGAATATTCTATGGCGAAGTGATAAGTTGGCCGGAATCATCGACTGGGCGCTGTGCCACGCCGGATCTTTGGTACGGATTTTATCAAAAACTTTCACACCGGTTTTGCTTAAAAATAATATAACTCATAGAATAACACTAGTTAAAAAAAAGATTGATCAGTGAATTTTCAAAAAATTTTCGTATAAGTCATTACCACTACAAAAAAATGTGTTGCAAATTAAAATATGCTATAGGAATGACGTAGGATGTGAGTAAGGCAGTGATAGTGATGCCGTTCGTCACCAGCACGCTGCTAGTTTGATCCCACCCCGGGCTTACCGAGCCCGTCACTCTGACAGGGTCGAAGAATTAGTATTAGATTTGAGTAGGCACCGTAACTCGCTATCTCAAGATTGCAGAGAGAATCGACTCGACGAGAATTCAACAACATTCACAGGAAAGATGAAAGTCCTTAATCAGCGGCCTAAGTCATACGCGGAATGTTCCAGGACCATCGTGGATAATAGATGCGAAGAAATGAACCTACTGCAAGAAGTGCTGGGATCCGTAGAGCAGGTGTGATGACGGATTATGCAAAACAAAGAAAAGAATGCAAGGAAGACGGATCTCTTTCGATAAACAAAAAAGTTATAAGATTTCGTGATGCATCTTCAGCTGGCGAATATGGGGTTAAATGTGGACAAAGAGCGACTACGTGCTTACTCTAATTTGGATTGAGGAATGGACCTCTTGACTAGGAGCATTCGTCATAAATCGTAGTCACAGAAGACCTCTCAACCAAAGACATGAGGAAATACCTAGTGGAGAATATGACGAATGAAGCTATTAAACTACAGTGTGTACCTTATTTCACTGATAAGCTAATACAAGGTTGCTACCACACATTTGTTCGGCTAACATTTCGGTACATTCGCCTTCTTCAGAGTTGGGATAACCGAATTCGATTCTTTCTATATTGAACATCCAGGATTTCACCATTCTCCATTGCCATTATCACTAGTATAAAGAGAGGGCATTAGCAAGGATATGCCATCTCGTTGAAGATACTACTTACAGCTAATCTTGAGAATTTGATACAAAAACTTTTGAATTTGATAGAATGGAATAAGTGCGAAAGTCGATAACATACAATTCTAACGGATTGTTTTTGGCGCGCGGATGACAGAGTTCGTGTAACATCATGTATTAGCCAAACAAACGAATGCTGGTCGATTTCCATGGCGGTTTGTGAACGCGACCGTCTTTGGCGAAATCTTGAAAGAAAAGTAGTCTTGGGTAGGGATTCGTTTTTTGACGCCACTGCACTCATTAATGCTCAACAGAATGGCTATCTCCTAAAATTACATATAAGACCGTTTGGGTAAAACGGGCAGTTGGCAGCGCATATAAGCGCATCAAGAATTCGATAAAAAGCGCGAAAGAAGCCCATATTTTTACCCAATTTTTCCTAGTCTACTAATCTCACTGTTCTGAAGGACGCTTTGCAAATCCGAAACCCACGCAAACAGACTGAAAAACCACTCAGTGTTCATGAATTTACTTCTGAGAGCGTGACATTCGGAGCATCTTGAATCGCACGAGTAATGTAGGGAATCCAACGTCACGATCTCCTTCGACAGCAGAAGATTAGAGACGCAACCGTGTAAGCCAAGATGCTGACGATCGGGTGGGGTGCACACTTGATGCATATTTGCCGCAGCCAGGAGACGAAATTATTTGCTGCTGATCTCACAGAATATCAGTTGTACTTAAGGAAGATCATCGAGCTGAGGAAGACCTACAAGAAGACTACCAACAAGAAGACTAAGAAGGGCCTATGGTCAGACTTCTTCTCAAGAATCAAAGAATAGAAATATGGTTTTTATAGCTTGCTTATTAAAAGAAAGAAAAATGATGCTTCCCAAGTCCTTCGAACGAACAGAATGCACTAAGAAACAGAATGAAAGGAAAGACATTGCCAGATCTAACTTCTAACCAGAGCTTGCTAACTTCCTCTCAAGGCACTCGAAAGCCAATATGAGAACAGGTGATACAAATGAAAAACGTTCTACTGCTTCTTCATTTTTAGGAATTCTCGATGACACAATAATTATATGTCAAAGACGCTGCAATTTTTTTAATTTTAAACGACCCGTCTTCCACATCCACTCTGCCATCCCAGTACTTCTTGCATTCGATTCGTTTCCTCACATTAGTTCACGAAAGTCTTCTACGTTTTGCGTGTGGGTTCGACTGCTGCTTGAGAATTCTCGACTTCTTTATGAGTATCGGTTGAATGTTGGCCGAGAGCATTCTTCCAGAAGTTCTAACATTGGCGTGCTAAGGCGTTCTCACCAGGATTGCTTTTTTTTTGCAGACAAATCTGGTACCAATTTGCAAACCTTTAGAGACGACAGGATTAGCGAGCTCGCTACGAACTTAGGACAGAACAGTGGTCGTGACGAGGAGCATCACAACCACTGCGCCACTGCTCCCCAACACGCTACAATAGTTGATTAAAACCATAGTCTCAATATACCTAAAACTTATCAGACTACTGTCCCCTCAGGGTCGCTTAAATATTATAGTAAACTTTTTTTCCAACAAGAAATGAAACACTGACTTATCTATCAAGGCGCCACCGTATCTATCGTACCACAGTCACCTGCACCATCTGCAATCTCATTAATTACTGAGCATTCGAACAAGCATCTGTAAACCACAGTAGTCCATCCATCAAAGCTCCTGCTTCTCGAGGCAAAGGTGCGCGAACATCACACTTTTGCCGTGATACCGTTACATTGTTTATGGAAAGACGTTGCCACGAACAGTTAAGCCTACCGCAGCACAAGTTTACTTTTAGCAGATTTCCCAGTCGAAATGCCAAACTTATTGTCAGCTAGGGTAAAGAATATGAAAGAAAGGAGAAAATTCCACATTGAAAACGCAGAGTGACAACTAAAATATACCCACATCAGTTGCAAGGAGAGCCATTTCGCGCGGTGTTCACTGACAAATCACTGCATGACTTCATGAAATCGAAGAATTTTTGCGATGCGGTGCAACTGTAAAGTATATGATGGAAAAGAGATAAACAATTAAGCTCTCGGAATTGATCAATTCCTGAGGAAAGCGCCATATTTTCGAATTCATTAAGTATCGTGAAGGTGGCCGATTTCATACTTGGCCTATACATAGCCACTTTCGGTGGCCAACCAATATACTAAGTCAGTGCAGCTATCCTCCGAGACAAATGTGGTGCCAATTTGTCTATCCCGTAGGGATGAAAGGTTTGGTAAGTCCTGCTCGCCGGATCGAACAAGTGACCGATCGGTGTATGTTGCAGGACACCTCTAACAACTGCGCTATACTCTCACTTTGTAGCGTCATCTTTCATAGCGGCTAATAATATCAAAGTTACTTATCATTCCTCATATACTAAATAAACTGAATTTGAACTTCAGACTGAAGATCTTCAAAGAGTACTAGTTACTTCCTGCTCTGTGGAAACCCGAAGACGTATGACACGTACACTTCTCAAATACTACTTTGATAGCATGCAGGGAAAAATGGCAGAAATTCATAAAGAAATGCCATTTTCGTTTAAGGATCTAGAAGTGAGTGCATAACCCTCGATAAACGAAAATTGGTCTTTTATCTTTCATAGATGAGTTATAGACCGTACATAATAATGAAGACTTTCTGGAACAGAACTAAAATCGTAAGGATAAACTTATGTATATTCAGGATGATTACCACCGTACACTGTCGTACACATGTGGACTAACCTTGTTCGCCGCAGGATTCTGGTCTCAAACTTCGATAATTCGAAGAGGAAAACCCGATGACAACGCCAGGATGAATGAGCTTGTTTCCAGACTGCAAAGCTTACTCGACGACACTGTGGTGGCACATGAGTGGCAATAGCTTGTGATCTTGTGCTGAACATTGAAGACAACGTTCTTTCATCAAATGTTTTCCCAAATTTTTCCTTGTCACAGGCAATTATTGTCGATTGGAGTTTACTTGGAACATTACTCTAAGTTCCAAGTAGTGTAATTGAATTCAGACGAAGTAAATTTACTTAGAACATAATGAACACAAAGGCTTAAAGAAGAGAGAGAGAGAGTTTTTTGAAGACATATTCATTAGTTCATCGCCTTTTTCCTTTTAGATTGGGAAATATGGAGTCAATAAATGAAATAAAAAGTGGAAAGTGAAAAAAGGCTTTCAGACGATGAAAAAGATGCAGCTTATGGTCAGTCGTAGCACCGTTCAACACTGAAAAGCCACCATAGCCTAGGCAGCGCGTGACTTCTGGTGCTGTAGCATAAAAGTGCAGTCCACATCAAATAAGAAACTTCAAGCCAAACAACAAACACATGATAAAGATTACTGCAATAGAAGTATGAATAAAGAGCCCGAAACGTTAACAAAGTAGCAATGGCTGTTTGCACAAAAACTACCATCGTATTTCGTACTGTAGGTTGCATTAAACCTTGCACCGAACGTCGTGAATAGCAGAAAGAAAGTGAAGATCTTTTAAGAAAAGATGGCACTACTTGAAAAAAAGATGTTGAAATGGGACCGATCCGGCAAATTCAATTATTGACCAGGTAGTAAAATCGGACCAGGTTATAAGGTAAACTAAGGATCGAACTCGAATACTTCAGCAGAAATCAAGTGGAAAAGTCTACATTTATAATGAAGTACTAGCATAAAATAAAAGTAGTGGCTAAAACTTTACTGCAAAAGCTGTTAGACGCAATCTAGACATTCATCAAGCAATGGATTATATGGATAAGTTCCCAGGATCGACTTTCTATTAACCTCGACATTGGAATATGAATCAGCTGTTCGAAACTTACTCATTGGAAGTCACGAAAAAGCGGCTCTGAAGAAGACGATACTGCCAAAACGTCAGCTAGCGTTGTATTGTATTGTGTTTCTCAATGGAAGTAAATATGGATAAGGATAAAGAATTCGGTGTTGATTAATCCCTGAACAATGTATCACGTATTCGACTTTACTGAGCACCGTTAGACGCGATTGAATGCATATCTGGTTAACAAAATAAATCACGGAACTCGAATGCGTCAAATTAGCGCTACTATCTTCGCGGACAAGTTTGGTACTAATTCGCAGATCCCAGAGGTATGGAAGTCTTGATAAGGCCGTGCGCAGAATCCGATCAGTGACTACTCCAGCCGTTGACTCATGAAAAAAAGTACGGTAAGCAAATTTGAAAAGTTAATAAGCAACCTGTAAACTATCCCGCTACACTACTACCTAGCAAGCAGCGTACAAAATTTTAAAGAAGCGCCTTTTCTTTGACTTCAGCATGACTAATCAATATGCATTCTTTCACTGATTAACTTGCACAGAGTTCATAAAAAGAGGAACTTTATTCGGCTAGCGTTTCAAATCCGTTTTCATGGTGGAATCGCATCCCGCAGAACGCGGTGTTATACCAGCTCCATTCCATCGAATGCGACCCGATGCTACAACAAAAACCCACATAGCGAGGACGAACAGTTGTGGAGCAATCGACACAGATCAAGTCGGATTTGAACAACGGGAAGGCACCAAAAGTTTAGTCGAATAGAGTTTTTTTGCCGACTTCGTGCTTCCCTAGTAATAAAAGAACACATATTTATTAAGTGAAATACAACCACAAGGATGCTGAGATATTTGCAAAACTCAGGCCTCAAGCCGGTTTCGAACCAGTGATTACCCGTCACGAAGCTCACGTGTTACCCATAGTACCACTGAGGCCCTTACTTCGCCTTTCTCTCAGTCAGCTTTTCTAAACCAGAAAAAAAAATAGTTTCTTATATAAATAATAGGCGTTAAGTAGAAAGTTATATAGATATTGATCAGTTATGCCGAGGTTAAGGAAAAGTCGGGGTTTTTAAAATATTGTACGCTGCTTGTTGGCTGATGTATTTGGATGGTTCATAAATTACTTAGTGGTTTTCGACATTTGCTTATAACTTTCAATATGTGAGTGAAAGACTCCCTATCACAACGGCTAAACATGAGTAAAATTCGGAACGTCAATCGAGCTTTGAATCAGGATTACCCTCTCCGGAGGCTCACCTTCTATCCAGGCCACTAACCAAGGCCCTATCTTTGCTTTTTCCTCAGCCATTTTTTACGTTGTGTTACCAGCAATCACTCGTCAACGAAAATAAGCAGGGAACACAAGTCGCCAATGGAACCCAGTTAAGCTGAAGCAGCTGTCGAAATCATGCTTAACTTTTATTTATTGCCCATTATTTTATCATGCAATGATGCTATATTAAGTCTTTTTATTTTTAAAATCTTTACGACCAGTCCTTCACATCTATTCTGCAGATTCTAGCACTCCTCACTTTCGTTTCATTTTCTCGCATTCATCACCCACGAAGGCCTTCCAACTTTTACGTGTAGCTTCGCCTGCATCTTGAGGATTTTCATTTCATCCTGAATGTCGCGGATTGCTGGTCGAGAAGATTCTGCATGGAGGTCTGAGATAGCCGAGCCAAAGCGTTCCCAACTGGATTGCGTAGAGTAATTTTTCACGAACAAGAACGGTACCAATTTCTGGACCCTGGAGTGATGGAAGGCTTGGTGAGTCCGGAGCGGGAAAAAACCAGCACCGTGCTCGTGATACTCTACCACTGTGCTTTCCGCTCCTTAATACATAGAACACAATTGTACTATTTATTATATATGTACTTATTATGTATCCTCCCAACGGTTTACCGCCTCATCGTGGCTGGGAGGTGCTCTTGGATGCTGGGCTGCTGTGCTTCATCTGGACTCATCCCCTGGCAAAGCCTCCCAAGCTTAGAAGGAGTTCGGCGCTTCCATCAGGAAACCTAGCTAACAGTAAACGAATACCAGGATCCACCACCGTCCTGGTATCAAAGTCGCATGGTGGCAACTATCCCTTTGATCCACAAAGGCTGCGACTGTTTGTGGTGGTGGGGACCTGAGGCAGACTTTGGTCAGGGCGACTGCGGGATTCCTGGGAACAACAGTGGCTTAACCAGCAAATATTCGAAAAATGGAGATTATGCTGGGGCCAGCACAACTAGTGAAGATGGGCCGTTCAAGTATCAAGTACCAAGTAAGTATATGAATGTATATCTCGTCAAGATGGGAAAATTAGAGACTTGTCTGGGAGGAGAAAAACACTAACCAATTCTATATGCCCCACAGAATGGTAATATTAGCCAGATATGCACTAAATCACCTCTAGGGTACCTAAAGGAGTCGAATGCATAGCGCATCCTTCAGGGATTTCTCAACGTCAAAAGCTTTATCCTTTACCCTTTTATGCTCACTTATTTCGCTATGTCCTAAAGGCTGGATGTTCTTCAAGAATCTACAGTACGAAAACTGGATTGGCGTTGAATTCGCTGTTTTCCAGCCGATTTCGCTTGCGTGCCTCGTGCATTTTTATCCGGTCCTTTCATCGTTGCTTAACATTATCTTACGTTTCCGCTGCATAGCATGGAGTAGGAAGGCGTGTTGCTTCAAATGGCAAGGCACATAAGTCGGAATTAGTAGGGTAATCCATTAATCAGTAATCAGGTAATCAGTTTAAACGATGGCCCTTCCTTACCGCGATCTTAGAAATGACATTGAATTACCATTCACTGGATGTATGGCTCAATACAATGTAGTCGCGTCGCATATTTCCTTTAGTGTTGCTTCATAAAATTTCACAAGACGACTTTGTGCTAAAGGAGCTCGATAGAGCAGAGGTTTGACGGTTTTCACTAGACTGCAGTATTAGGTTGCTCGAAGATCAATGTCGGATTTCAACCTGTGTTTTCAAGGTGGTATATCTCAGTTCATTATAAACTTCATTAGTCGAAATAAAAACTATTACAATCTAAACATTTTTTCCGACAGGGAAGAAGAATATCTATTATGGTTGCATAAAACTCTAAATTTCTGGAAGTAGTCGTTGAAGGTAATTTCGGACTCAGTATAATTTCTGTAGCATTTCCCTCATAGAAAGTTGTCGAGATGCTTGAAACAGTAACATTCGGTAGAAGCGAGTATGATAGATGAAGCAGAGTTTCATACTCCAGTTTGTCCAACTTTTACAGCATCGGCTTTAAGGCGCATCGCCGTGTGTTATCGTGGAGGAGGATTAATGCTTTTCTGTTAGCCACTGCAGTGTGCAGTCGTCAAAGTTGCCGGTGAAATTTGTCGACTTGATAAACTTAACTCGTCGCCGTAGTCATTTCACCAGTAGTTAGGAAGGTGCGTTGGAGCAAACCAGCCGCAAACCATCAAACTGTCAGCGTGCAATTCCGGCTTTGGAAAATGCTGCAGAGCTTCGCTGCGATCCAACCACCGACTTAGTCGTAGCCAGTTGTCCTTGGATCAATTTATTGTCGCATGTTACAATACAACAGAGAAATGGCCCGTTATAGTTGGACAGTAAGCGTCGACAATACCTCAAAACGGCGATTTCGTTGATGTCGTTATATTCGTGTGGCACCATTTTTTGAATTTCTACGACCATCTGATGCTCTTCAAGTGCTCCAAAACAAGTGAGATGTTCAAATCTAGTTTGTTTACGAGTTCTCGAACTGTTGTGCATGTATTTGCTTGCAGGGACACATCGCATTCAGCTTCGTCATTAGCAAAAGCACATCTGCGGCCACCCACTTTCGAACTCGCAAACAGGAAACTCCCCAATTCACAGTCTCTTAGTGCGTTCGTCACTTCTAATACGTCGTCGACTTTTCCAGCCCTTTGCGCTGGGCACATCTGATTTCGAATTCGTGGAATAAATTTGCCCAAACGGCTTGCTGTCTTGACCATTGAGGTCCTAACGTTTAAAAACTGCCAAAAATATAATTTGTAATTCAATAAATAGCGTGTATGAAACAAGCTTTTTAATATCACATAATATTGTGGGA